GTTCCGGTGACGGTGTTTTGATCGTGACAGCCTGCAGAACATAAAACCTCCTCCTTTTTGATGGTGTTATGATGCTGGTGTTTCTGGTGAGGTCGTCTTGGGTGATGGTCCAGCCGTGTTCTTTTCTCGTGTGCATTTTTGGAGCACCGTCAGCCGAGTGCATCGTCAGCCGCATTGAAAGTGTGGTGGTAGAGACATCAACGTGGTTTGATTGCGTTGTGAGTCTGCAATCTCCTCTGTCATAACGAAAGTGTTAAACTGCGTTTGTTCGTTTCAGTGGGTCAGCTCTGGCCATGAGGCTATTTCTTATGATAAGCTGGGCGACCTTTGTTTTTGTAGTAGAATATGAGCGCAATCTTGTCGTCCTGTCGTCGACATGCATCCGCGTCTTTCGCGTGTGGGGACATACGCTGCGTTGTTCATTCCGAACCTGTGGGTGCTGTTAAGCATGACCATGCGCTGGCGGGTCAGAATGGTTTCTCTGTTTTAGCCATTCGGAAAGCTTCTTAGAGACACCCAGCTTCTTATCTGAGGCTTGGTGGTTTTCAGCCTGTTACTATAACTTTCCTGGTCCCACAGCTTCTGCCACTTAGCCAGCGTATAGCGCTCTGTAGCAGCGTAGAACGGAAGATTACTACGCAAAAATTGATAGCAGTATTGCGGTTGTCGCTCCTATGGGTTTTTATAGCCGCCTCACCCATGCATTTCATTATTTCCTCGCGTGATGCGATGCTGTGGTGCAGTGTTGCAGAGGGCAAGGATGTTTACGTGGTACACAGTCTGCAAGAAGCGCAGGAGCTTTTGTCGACTCCTCCCCTGGCAGACAAGGTGGAGACCATCTGGCAGTCGGCGGCGCGTCTCTTTATCAGGTATGGAGTCCTAAATACACGATTCAGCTGAATATTGTTTGATGAAACAGCATAATCATGCCACCATTCCTTATCGCAATCGCCCCCATTGGTTTATGATTGAGATATGGACTCAGTATTGTTATGATGCATGCACTTCAAACAAATGTGGTGTGTCGTGTGGATCATATTGGTTCTGTTGTGTAAGATGCCAACTCGGAAGTCTCCGTAGTGTGCTAAGCCTTCACAAAACTGTTTCGTCGCGTCACTTTGAGATGGCTTTGTCAATGTGGAAAAATGAGAGGTGAGGATGAGGGGAAAATTTTTGTCCTCGTGGATGCTTTTGAAGAGCATATGATTGCTCTTAAGGATCTCGTGCTCACCTTGGTTTGATAAGGGTTCCAGCGTTCCCAATGTCCATATGGTGAATAAGCACGGTTATCGAAAGATACCAATGCTATTCAGTCTACATAGAGTACCGCGGAAAATCACATCGTTCTGTTTTCGCCATCCCCTTCACGTATGCCATACCCCACCAAACTTCATGTTGATCAGTGTTTTCACAACACTGTTCTGCGTTGCGCAGGAAGCCATTGAGAAGAAACTTGTGGACAAGCTGTATCTCACAAAAATCAGAAAAGAGTATGACGCAGACGTCTTCTTTCCGAAGTACAACGAAGAAGATTTCGTGGAAATCAGGTCAGCGATGTGATAAATCTTCTCGTTTAACCAGAACTCTCACTCCATTTGCGAAATGTGTTCTACGGTCAGTATCGCCATGTGATATCCAATAGAAATGTTACCCTTTATGTGATATACATCTGTTGCACGTGTAATTTGTGTTTCACTTTGTAGTGACCCCCACGTTCCGGAGGGTGTGCTGGAGGAGGACGGCGTGGAGTGGACCCACCATGTGCTTCAGATGAAGTAGTCGCCTGACGCGGATCGACGCTGGCAGTCCGCGGCTGAGAAATGAACAAGTTATTGGTGCACGGTTTTGTACTTGACAGCTTTTTCCACATATCCGTAGAGCTCGTCGAAGTGGTTTGTGTCCAGTGCATTCTGGTACTTGGTCGTTTTTTCACATATCCGTAGAGCTCGTCAAGGTGTTTTGTGTCCGATGCATTCCGGTACTTGGTCATGGTATTTCAGGTAAGCGTAGGTGCTGAAGGGACCGGCTCTGAGTTCCGCACTGAAGCTGAATGAATAAAGTAAGGATATTTCTAGAATGAACGTTTTTGGTTTTGCTACTAGCCTTGAAGTGCAGACGGGAAGCAAGTGTTGAATGCATGGTAAACGAAGTGTGCGAGAAGATGGTGGCGAACACTCAACATGTTCACGAACAACCTTTGACAATCTTCGTCCATGGCGCTAAGAATCGCCAGGATGCACTGCGAGTGTGATGCTGTGGTTGTCCTTGCATTGAAGCTTTTATCATCAAGATACATGCTTGTATCCTTTTTGGCTTGTTAGGGCACGGTGTGGAAATCCCTTGCTGTTAAATTCCGCGATTTGCCGGTTTTTAACAGCGGAGCTTTCTTGGTGCGCTTAAGAGGGTGGGCGTTACGCGGTAAAGAGAGGAGGCCTAAAAAGCATATGCACATGTTTTAGGTGGCGTGCTTCAGTATGTACTGACATGGCCATTGATCCATGAGATTTTGCCTGCATCGAATGACCTCAACTACGGTTAGGAATACACGCCACATACGATAGACGAGGGCGGCCACTTGACAAATGGTGGAGGAATGCACGCCCCAACAATAATGAATCCGAATCTGACATCTATTTCGCAGTAGTGCGTGACTTTCAATGCCAAATGGCGGGGAACTCGATACCAACCAAAAGTTACTGGCTGATTTCGGATTTTTAAACATCTCTGGGTTTGCCAGCGTATGAACTAGCGTCCTCCATAAGGTCCTGACGTTTTGAGGTCACCCTTCAAGGTCAACTGACGGGGAACTCCGCATCATCCAATAGTTGCCGACCGATATCGGATTCTTAAGCATTAGCAGCACATTCAGCGCATAACCTGTCGTCTATCAGAAAGTCTTGGTCTTTTAAGGCCAAGACTAGTTCGCCATGAAGTGGTCGACCAATTTCAGATTTTTGGGCACCAGAATGCTTGCCACCACGGGAACTGGCGTCTGTCGAGGAGTCCTAACCTCTCAAGGCCACTCTTCAACGTCAAATGGGTGTATATGACGGAGAACTCCATGTCACTCCTTAGTTGCCAGCCAATTTCGCATTTTTAGGCACCCAAATATTCGTCAGTACGTGGGTTAGCGTTCCACAAAGACTGATCTGGCAAGGTCACACCTCAAAGCCAAATAACGGGGAACTCCATGTTACCCAATAGGTACCGGCCAATTTCGGATTTATGTATCATCAAAATCTTCTTCAGTTCATAAGCTAGCAGCTTTCACGAAGTCCTTACCTCTCAAATTTACACTTCAAGGTCAAATTAAGGCTCAAATGATCTGGAATTCCTTACCATGTTTAAACAAATTTGACTTTTAAGAGTGAAGTCAAGAGTTTAGGACGTTAAGACAGATGCAAGTTAATGCACTGATGAATATCCTGATGCTTAAACATCCGATATTGGTCGGTAAGTTGGATGGTATGGAGTTACCTGCCATTTGACTCTGAAGTTGACAGTTAAGGTCATGTGATGTTACTTAATATACATCACATGGTTGTCCTCCTGTCATAACTGATCATCTGACTCATTTTCAGCGAAATCGGCACTAGTCTCTAAATGAATGGCGAAGCCATTCGGTCAGCTTCGTCCCGATGGCTCAGTTGGTTGGAGCGCCTGCCTCCCGGTCCACCCACCAGTGACGGGATAGGTTGGAGTCCTTGACAGATGTGGCCTGCGGTTGGTGGCAGAAGCCGCGCTTAACGTCATGTGACGTCAGAGGATAAGATAGACCATGCCGGGCATCGCGGCGCGCTAAGCTTTCACCACAGAGTCCTGCAGTCGACCTGGAATCGCGTTATCTGATGTTGTTATCAGGCCGGATACAACAAGCACTGCTTAGCTTGAGCTTTTGATGCCATGAATTCCATCCATTGAAAAGGTTCGGATTAAATCTTGTAACACGTCACACACCTTTTATTGAAGCACCCATGTCAGGGGCATCAATTTGTGTAAGTCATTGGGGGCTGAGCTGAGGGCCCACAGCCTAGACCCCCCATGTTGTTCTCAACGGGCTTGGCCCACTTCATTTTCACGAAGGCGATTTTTATGTTCAATTCTTATGTCAATAAAGGAAGTCTCTAACTTAAGCAGCATACTTGTCATGCAGGGGCGGATCCAGAGGCGAGGACTGCAGATTTGTGCCCGCTCTGATTGGATGGGTAAAGATGCCCCTAGAGGCCGCCATATGGCCCCCACTCTGGTATGGGAGCCTTGGTCGCTGCACGTATTTTTCGTTGTGGGGGACGAGATGGGGCTAATCATAAATGGCTTGCATTATTCCCATATTCCGGAGCTTTTCAGTTCAACCTCTCAAACCTTTGCGCGTCGTACAGCACCAGGTGCGTCAAGTTGCTCGCTTAGCAGTTGCACTTTCTCTCTGGCGGTGGGAGCAACACCACATTGTATTGTGGGAAGCGGTCTTTTAGTGTTGGTAAGAACGCTGCCCTATATGACAAGCATATATGCTTTGTGGCTATGGGGCGGTGAAGGACACACAAAACGCCAACATAAATGGTTTACCCCCGATGTGTAACGTTACCGCTCATTTGAGGAAATCATTTTAAGTTGGGGGCCGAGTTACTCAGCTGCACCCTCCATGTCGACGCCACTACGAGACAGCATCAAAGAAGACAGTCTTTATGTCACAGGCCAACTTTCTCCATGCCTTTGGAATGTGACTGCACAGTGTATTAAAGCCTAAGCCAAAACTGGGTGCGGGACGGTAGGGTCCGTACAGAATGCAAATGGGCACACGTGGCAGATGTCGCAATTAAATTCAGGACGTCCGAATGTATTAGCTTATACATTACGAAACTGTACGTGTATCCATGGAAGTGTAGAGAATTTGGGGCCATTGGGTGTTTAAATGACCTTGAACGAGCTTTACGTTTGACACCCATTAGCAATGCTTTACAACATACCATGATAAACCAAACCAATACGTGGGCATTGCTTGATAGGTTGCATCAGTGTATGAAATCACATTGGAATCATGGTGTTCCGCGGACGTGACCGACAAATTTGAAAAGCAATATCGATTAAACTTGATAACGCCGTGAAAATGCCGTATGGGACATTCTCGGCGCATTGACGGCCTCGCGGTTCGATTCCGCGGGCGCGCTCCGCCGTCTGTGTTACAGGGTTGAATGCGTTTTGTGTGGCTCAGGGGACAGGTAGGTTGAGTGCTGAAGTAGGATTGGGCGGACAGTCATCCTGGGAGGAAATTTGAGCGATTTGACACTGTCGTCTCGTTTTTCCACTTTGTTCTATCAGCAGTGACAAGGCAATAGTACTCGCATGACATGGAAGCTGGACGGATGGCACCGGCGCAAGCCCTGCACTTCGCACATTTGTGCAACGTTCTGAATCAACCAAATGTGGTACAAAACGCATGCTACAGCCGTATCCGCAGATACTGAAGACATTTTTTAATGTTTGTATGCCTGTAACGCAGTCTTTTAGCCCCATGTACCATTTGGTGACAATAAAGAGCAGTTTGCCTTTAAGCCTGTTGCTCACTCAGCTCCAACCAACAGATGGATTAATATGTGATGCTGCTGTGAGTTGATTATCATAGAGGTGATGCACTTGCAGTTGGATTCTGTCCCCAGCTCCTTCCCCAGGATGTTGGGCCAGGGCTGCATTGTCTCCTGCTGTGGGGATTATGCATGCTCTTGTGGCCAAAACCAAAACTGATTTTATTTTTTTCTTACTGCAGACAAAATCTGGAAATCCTGCTCACTAATTCCAGGTCTAAACCCTGGCAACTATTTTGGGGTCACCCCATAGCTTACAGAATAGCAGGATTTGGGTGATGCTATTGTAATGACAAATGGCAAGATCGCTTTGAAATGCTATCCCTGATGTACCTTCCCTATTTTTGTGGGTGTGTAGCTCAGAAACTAGAGGGTTGTAGGTATTAAGAAGGGCAGGATTGTGAAGAGCACCAAAAGCTCTTAAAAATGGCATTTCAGTTCAATCTCCATATTAATATGGAGCACCATCATTAGTGACTATCTACATGCATATCAGTACTTGCATTCTGTTATATAGTTTTGAGATGCAGTTTGTATAATATGACAATATGTAGCAATGCATAGTATTGATGTTCTTTCATTTTGAGTTATGTTTACTGCTTGGTATGGTCTGTTGTGGTACACTTCACACCACATGCATATTCCCATTATGCAAGATATCATCCATTCATAGTCTCCTTTCTGTCTCATCACAGCATGCCATAACACTTGTCTTGCTTAGAAATATACACTAGGCTCATCATGGTGACTACTCTCTAAATCATGCAAAAGCATCATACTGGCATTGTGATTTTGTGATGTGATAGAAGCAGCAGTGTGGATCCATGACACTTGACACTTCAACCTAAGGTGCCCTGTGCTATGAAAATATGCTTGTGAAAGAGCTTGAAATAGCAACTTTACCTGCAAGTTTTACTTAAAATATTGATGTTTGTCTTTAACAGTCTAGTAGATGCAAGTTTGTCAATGAACATTTATTCTGCATTTTATGGCTTGTTCTGAGATGCATCTTCAGGCTTGTTCTATATAGTGCATGATGCTCCCAACAACTAGCAGATTTATTTCTTATGACCCCTGTCAGGACAATACATAAAGTCCACAGTGTGAGGGTGTATTTTAGTTTTATTTTTATTTTATTTTATGTTATTTTTTGCTGAAACCCCAGTTTAGCAGTCAAAGATGCTCAGGGCAGGGTTTGTGAACAGCTTCAAAAGGTCTTCAAGACAGCTATTTCAGTTGAAAACCCGATATGAATGTGGAACGCTGCCTCAGAGAGAATCCTCCACAGTTAAAGATATTGCAGCAAGCATCAGATGTGATGAAATAAGCTCATTTATAACCATTAGTATAGTTTTTGAGTGGAATAGACTGTCCTAGACATCACAGTTTCTGTACATAGAAGATTTAATCCTCATGTTATTGATAGTGTTATACATTTTAAAATATTATTGATAGCTATTTGGTGGCCATTCCATCTGGAAATTGGGCTTATGAAGTCAGATATGAATGACTCAACTATATTTTTCTTGGTACTGGTTGCTGCTTGGTCAATAGAGTGGCAGGATCTAAATGGTGTTATTATGGCATCATGGATGCCCAGCTCACCTTGAAATAATCTGCATGAAATGGTCTGCACATCTTTGTGTGTGGGTAGCTCAGAAACTAGAGGGTTCTTGGGTCTTAAGAAAAGCAGGGCTGTGAACTGCACTGAATGGTCTTCAGTATGGCTATATCAGTTCAAAGCCCCATGCAAATATGGAACATTTCCTTCAGTGGTTATGGAATGGAATATGAGAGCCTCTCCAATAATCCTTCATTGCATTTCGGACCTTGCCATTGTATTTTCATCCAGGGTATCACATTTCAAGCTCTTTATTAACAGGAAATCTCACACTTAAATCCCAAGGTACTTTCTTGGTCAGTAAGATCTTTTGTGTCCAGCTGAAGGCATGCAAATGGTGGAATGCCAGACATACAGGCAGGAGAGGGTGAGTGCATGTGGGGTATTGTAGATACTCCCATGTGCTGGGCATGGTTTGTCTTAAGAGTGAGTGGTGTTGTCCAGTTCACGCACAGGTGGTGGGATGTGGCTGGCTGTGCTCTGACTGGTGCCTGTTCCTTGGCAGGTCTGTCCCCAGTCCAGCAGCACACCACACCTGAGAAAGTAACACGGTGCTAAGCCAGCTGTAAGAGTGAGCAGTCGTTACCAGGCTGTTGGCATAGGGCTGAGACCGTCGGCCGTGACACGCCGCCATCATGTCGGAGACGCCGCGCGAGGCCGGCCGGCTGGACCTGAGCCGGCCGCGCTGGGACCAGTCGACGTTCGCCGGCCGGCTGCGCCACTTCTTCAGCATCACGTCACCGTGGCTGGCGCTGCACGGCCGAGACGAGCTGCTGGCGGCGCGGGATCTCGTGCAGCAGTACCGCGAAGGCCGCGAGCCGGCCGGCACTGACGATGAGCAGGTTTGGCGCGCCAAGGCGCTCTGCGACTCAGCCTTCCACCCGGACACGGGCGACCTGCAGAACGTGGTGGGTCGCATGTCCTTCCAGGTGCCCGGCGGCATGGTGCTGATCGGCGGCATGATCACCTTCTACCGCAGCACAACCGCCGTCGTCTTCTGGCAGTGGGCCAACCAGTCGTTCAACGCCTTCGTTAACTTCACCAACCGCAACGCCAAGAGCCCGCTGACGCCGACGCAGCTGGGTGTGGCGTACGTGTCGGCCACGTCCTGCGCGCTCGGCACGGCTCTGGGCCTGAAGCGCGTGCTGGCCGGCCGCGCCTCCACCTTCGTGCAGCGCTTCGTGCCGCTGGTGGCCGTGGTCGCAGCCAATTGCGTCAACATCCCGCTGATGCGTCAGGGCGAGCTGCTGCACGGGGTGCCCACGTTCGACGCCAAGGGCGAGGAGGCGTGCGTGTCGCGCGCCGCCGCCGTCAAGGGCATCGCCCAGGTGACGCTCAGCCGGAACGTGATCGTCTCGCCGAGCATGCTGCTGCTGCCGGTGCTGATGTCGCGGCTGGACCGGGTCGCCTGGTACGCGCGCCGGACGCGGCTGCACGCGCCCGCCCAGATCGCGCTCTCGGGCGCCGTGCTGATGTTCATGGTGCCGGTGGGGTGCGCGCTGTTCCCGCAGACGTGCGTCATTGGCACGGACGCGGTGCGCCGCCTGGAGCCGGCCGTCTGGCAGGAGCTGGTGCGGCGATACCAGCCACAGCCGCCGCCCGACACGGTGCAGTTCAACAAGGGCCTGTAGCCGTTGCCGGCCCGGCCCGCCACACCTGGCGGCGGTGGGTGGTCGCTGGCGGCTGCAGTCGGCTGTATGAGTCATCCAATGTATGCAGTCGGCTGTATGGGTCATCTGATGTGTGCGGTCGGCTGTATGAGTCATCCGATGTGCGCAGTCGGCCGGATGCGTCACCTGATGGGTGCAGTTGGAGGGGGCAGTCCGCCAATGACGTGGATGGTGCGAGCGGTGGGACTCAAAGACGCGTGGTTTTGCAACGCCAGGAGACGGAGATGACCCCAAAGTATGTTAAAACGTGACAGCAGAAAACTTGTGCAATCAAATGCAAGGTACGTCCCCATCGGCAACTCAACCGGTTGGAGAATCATTTGCACCTGAAGGGAACGTTGTGCAAAGCAGTAATGCACAGAATCCCTTCAGTCAAGGCTCAAAGCTCAGAACACAAAGTGCAATGATGTTTTTGTTAGGGTTGGTGCAAAGCACAAATGATGCACCAGTGCATGCAAGAAAGCACCAAGTTTATAAAAAAGATCGATTTCTTGGCGCGGAGGATTCTGCATGATCGGCTATGAGTAATTGCGAAGGAAAAATTTTGGTAGTAGTGTGGCGCAGTTCATAAAAGCTTAACCTTTTCAAGGGTCTCGCAGCTGGCATTGGGACATGTCCTGAAGTCATCGATATTGATTCGAGTTTAAAAGGGCAGGAAATGACCCGTGTTTTCGTTGATGCCTGCATTGTCAATATCACTGCCCACCTAGGCATTGTCAATACCACTTCCACTACCACTACCCATACGTTTTTAGCGACCATGCCATGGTAAAGTGCGGAACGGTTACAGCGTCAGTGGCCAATGCCTGACTGGGAGAAAGACAAGAGGTTCGTAAGGCGGTGGGGAACCTTATTTTTACTTAGATTGAAAACAGTTTCGGCACGCTCAACGCCTGTGTTACAAAATGAAGAGATCAGGCATGCGAGCAAAGCTTCCTCATCTCATGTTTCGGAGAACGAGCAAAACATTGTGATGCTAACACGCAGTTCTTCAACAGGTTCTGGCCTACCTGGTACAGGGTCAGAACGTGGCAAAATTTCGACGTTGGAAAGAAAAACTGGTGGCAACTTGAAAAGCATCGTATGTCTACAGTCTGCTGCAACGTTACATGTCACTAATACAATTGCGGGCAGGTCTAATCTGTCAGCGCTTTGTACGTAAGTGCAGTAGATTTTGCTTCGTTAGGTCAGCGAATGAAACTTTGCTGGGGTTCAGCAATTTATCTTGAGATGTGACGTGCTCAAGGACCATCAGGTCTGGTTTAGATCTGTCCAGGATCTCCGAACCTAATAGAGGCGATGCCAACCTCGGTTACAGTGTTTACGCTGGGATTGTTTGTACGGCGTTACAAACTACTCTGTGCAATAACGGGGTGCCTGGTCAAGCTGTCCAAAGACGCGCGGTTGGCTGCTCAAAAGCTGCGCATGGTAATATGCCAAGTGGGAGGGTGACCGGAACTATGGCATCATCCCCGAGCAATGGGCCGTATCGCTTTATTGTTCACGGATCGGCACATGCCACACATACGCCTACTGCTTAAACAACTCGCGCTCCTAGGAGTGGTGCCAGGTGTAAGCGTTAGTTGGTCGATTAGTTGACGCGGTTGGAGACATCTCTTATTTTGCCAAAAGTTTGTTCTGCCCTACCGCGTATGCTCGGCGCAAAAAGGACGTGTTTGGTACCGCCCTCGTTAAAATCGCCATTTTAGGCCGGGATGCTCCTTGAGGTGTTTGCTTTCCCGCCCTTTTTGTGCGACTCCACCCGAAGTATTAGATAAATGGAGTAAGGGGGTGGCGGGAAAATGTTTGGTAATGGCGCGCTAACAGCAGTCGAGGCAAAACACCGTAGAGTAAAGGTGGGTAAGGGAGTGATGGCAAATGTTTATTGTTTACGCTCGTATTAGCCGGGGTTTAGACTGTGCAATGATTGTTTTTTATGCACAGGGGAGGGTAGCTTAGGGACTGTAATGTGTTGGTGAGGTTACCTCGCGCATCTATTTTACGCTTTTGGGCCTTTATATCATTGTGTATCGGGTATTTCTTCAAGTTATTTGGCGCTGTGTGTTTGAGGCAACAAATACTTAGTATTCCAGCTGTTGTGGGTAAACAGGACTTTCAGCCTCGTTCGTTTGCGGGGTTGCCTTACCGATGTCTTCCAGGGCGAGTGATAGTGGTAGCGTGACTGAATCTTACGTATGTAGCCAAAACTTTTCTAGTCGAATTGTCAAATTTTCTCTAACAAAATTCTGGGGATTTACACAATTTCTGCGAAATTGCGTTGTAGCTGTATGCTGTATAAACATCGGCTCGGTGAGAGGGGAGGACGGCTCATTTGGCCCCCTCCTTGGCTACGTTCCTGCGGGCCACGTAGGTATGCAGCTTTGGACGTGGTGTCTATAAATTCTGGCGCTGGTAATTCTATTCTCAGTACTGATTGCCATTTCGTGTATACTGTAAAGATATCGAAAATATACGACCACTCAGAGAACCTGTGTATTGGACCACCCTGCAGGTGACGCGGCGATGCGGCCGGGAGATACGCGCAGCTCTGGTATTTGGCGATGCATGGGCATTGGCGGACTGGAGGCAACACCTCCCAGGCTGACATCGAGTTCTGCGGTGGAAGCGCAGAACCCCTTTCTACACCAGATTCCGTACTGACATGCCAATGAAATGGAGAGCATCAAATACGAGCGAATGTTTTTTCCCATTACTTAACCTAAATGGTCCTCATGTCAACCGTGTCATCTGCACCACGCGACTGGCTGCAGAGACGTGTTTTTCGCAAGATGAGTTGGGGTGGGGGGGGGGGGGGTTAAACGGTTAAAAATGACGCAACCTGCCTCAAAGCACGTCAATAAACGGGTTTCTCCACGGCTTCGGCTTACTTTTGCCCCAATACTGGGGGGATGGGGCTTAAGTTGGGGAGGGAAGGGCCTAAAGGACGCATCCCCTCAACTGAATCGGAAACTACACCTCTGACTGGATTCCGTTGAAACATGATGGTGACCGTAGGATAAATTTATTCACAGAGTGTCATTTGTAGCAGCTGTGTTATTCAATAGTTCAAAACTACACTAACATGCAGTGCAATGCTTTAGCCTCCAGCACGATCGTGGCCCACTGCTACGCTGTTTCTTGCGTGCGATGTGGCGAACCAATGTGGAGCGTAGCTTGGACCTCGGTCTACACAGATCTTGGAGGGTGCGTCTGCTTCCCACAGCGAGCACACAAATACTTTTAAGGTTTAACAACATTTGAAACAGCAGTGGGGCATGGGCTGCAACCACACCTGGCGCAACGTCACACTACTCACGCCTACCTTGTCGCTCTTCGGTTACGATCCATTAACCCCCTCCCCTCCTACCAAATAAAACAACCGCAAGGTTTCGGGGACAGTCCTGCGGACTCGCGCCAAATGCGTGCGGAACAGCTCAGTATTTCGCCTAAACCTCTTGGCTCGGGGGGGGGGGTACGGCCCCTTGGCTACATCTCTGTCCCCTGTGCGCAGCAAACTACGCGCGTAGTTTGCTATGCACGTGAACGGTCCCTTACGTGGACTGATCCCTAAATCTTTCCCGTTTTGCGCTATCCATACCACTTTTAACAATAATAAACAAAATACGCCAGCTGCAAATCACATCGTCTCCATGGGAGGGGATTAAACGGCCCACCAAACCTGTTCGCAGCCTCATGCTCCAAGCCTATGTAGCCGATCAACAACAGAACCTCCCCAGTCAATGCCGTTGGGTTGAACGCCCATATTTTTCGGATGACGTTGGCCTTGGGTCAGGTCAAAGGTCACCAAAAAATGTCGGAACCCGGAAAGATCCGCTTGCAGACAGGTCCATGCTCCCAGCGTATGAGGTAGATCACCACAAATTTTCACTAGAAGGTGCGCCATATTCAATGTCCCGTCCCTTTCCAAAAGCGTGATGACCTTGGGTTATGTCAAAAGTCATAAAACGCCCCAAACTACCAGAATTGGCCGCAGAAAATCCCATGCTCGTAGCCTTTAGGACCGATCTCCACAAAACCTTAACGCAGCGATGCACCATGGCTCATAACCTATCTTCTCTAAGAGGTGGAAACGGTGGGTCGGGTCAAAGATCACCAAAAAATGGCCAACACCACCAAAATTGGCCACAGAAAACCACATGCCCGGAGGCTAATGCACTGACAAGAACAAAACTTTTACCAATCGATGCGTCATGGTCGAAAATCCACCCTTAGCACGCCATGGTGACCTTGGGTTGGGTTAAAGGTCGTCAAACACGCCCAAATCACCAGAGATGACTCTGCATTCAATCTCATGCTCCGAGTGCATGGAACCGATCGGCACAAAACCCTTGCTTATCAATGGTTCGAGGTGAATAATCTATCATCTTCAGAACATGGTGACCTTATGTCAAGTCCAGTGCCAACAAAAAAAACGCCCGAAACTGAAATTTTTTATGAACAACAGCATGTTCAGAGTCCATGGTACCGATGGACACAAAACCTGCACTTATCAATATTCCATCGTCAATGACCTATCTTTTTCAGAACATGGTGACATTTGGTCTAATCAAAGGTCGGCATGGCCTAGGGGCGGGATGGTGGCCTAGGGGCGGGACAAATACCATCAAGAAACACCAAAAACCATTAAAATTGGCTGTAAGCAGTCACATGCATCGAGCTTTTTAGACCGATCGGCACAGAAAACCTTTACGCATGGCCGATAACCCGTCATTTTAAGAACGGGGGTACCTGGGGTTGAGTCAAATGTTATGCACCACTGATTCCCTCGGTTTCTGTCGTTGGTGACCTTTGAGCAAACCCATGGTTACCATGTTCTGGTGGGGAGAGGGTATCGACCATGACGTATCGTTTGTTGAAGATTTTTCGGATCATGGGGCTGTCTGCAAAGAGTTTTTCGGATTTGAGTGTTTTTGGTGGCTTTTCACTGCACCCAAGGACATCATGTTCTGAGACGGGTAGATTATCGACCATGGCGTATCGATGAATTGATGGGGTTGATCCACATTTAAATCAGGTTTTGAACTGAAATAGCTATCTTGAATGCCTTTCTGTGCTGTTCGCAGTTCTGCCCTTCCTAAGACCTAAGCCCCTCTAGTTTCTGAGTTGCGCGCCCGCGAAAATGGAGAGAGATTTATCGGGAAGAGTATTTCAGTCACCTTGGCATTCATGACGTCATGATAACGTCATTCAAATCCCGCCAGTTAAAAAGCCATGCAATATATAAAAGCCATATATATATATATATATATATATATATATATATATATATATATATATATATATATATATATATATATATATATATAATAGCGATATAGCCATATGCAAGCCAATACAAATTTGCCGAAATGTTCATATCTGACGTTCGTGAGCGCGATTTCTAAATATAATGGCCGTCATTTGGCTCTGGGTTGTCATGTTGCATCATGTATTTACTACGAATCGTTCCATATGTATAGCTTAATGCTTGATTCGAGTCAATGGGTTACAAGTTGCACGATAAACACAAAAATGCGGCGAGAATGATGACACGTTAAGAGCTTGAGAATGGCTCACAAAGTCAAGACGCAGCGCGGCTCCGAGAGGTCAGAACAGCCGGCGGCAGGTGGTTCCAGGACGAGGTCACACAATAGGGAAATACCGATATGCTCACTCACGGCGGTCCGAGGGGTGAACAGCGACCAGACCGCCATCGGGGCTCGGGGGGCATTTAGGGCTCTGAAAGCGCCAATATGGTCGCGACGCGTAACAAAGTCATTGTTACCGCCCCAGCACAACGACCTTACGGCCGGTGAAATATGATCATGAATCCGCACCCCCGGGGCGATCCTGGCCGCGAATTTAAGATTGTTTGTATCCTGCCGAGTTAACAGGTGGCGGCCCCGCCCCGCACTGAGAGACAGTACAGGATGTGGGGAAACATAGCCCTGGATAAGGAGTTGGCGGGCTTCGTGTGTGCGATGATGATGACGAATTTGGTATAGCCAAAACAAGATGGGGTCGTACTTTTGAATTATTTTTGGATGTGCTCCTCCCGGGATAGAGTACGATGGATGGTCACTCGCAGCATCTTCAAGAACAGCAAAGGGGTTAACTTATAGTCGGAGATGTTAAGATGGAAGGTTGTTTTTATGGCCTGGGGCGTGCCGACCAGAAGAAGGGTGGTCTTGGTAGGATGCATCGTCGGGGAATTGGCAGCGAAGTGGGACTGGGGGGTGAGGATGGTTTCCTCCTGACGGGATTTTAGGATGCACAGGTGGTCGGGATGGACGGAGTCGAAGAGTTGGATGTCGTCGGCGTGAGAAACCAGACGCCCGTGAGACAAGTAGGATGAAAGGTCGTTCGTCGTTTGTGAAGATGCTGAAGCGGATTGGGCCCACCAGGGACCCCCATGGGACACTGCAGCATGAGGGAACGGATAGTGAGCTACCTCTTTCCACCCGCCGCCGTCCACCAGGATAAATTTTAAACCATCGGGGATCGATGCTGTATCACTGCAGCTACCAGTCAGGAGGACGCCGTGGTCAATGCTATCGAAAGCTCGACTTAGGTCTATGAAGGTGACGGCAACAATATGTCCGGAGTCGATCCGGCGCGTCATCCACTCCACGGTATCGAGCAGTGCGTTCCCCGTTGAGTGGCACGGCCTATACGCGTATTGTGAGGGGGCTAAAAGACCGTGGACATCAAGATATGCCGACAACTGCTGACAGACAACCTTTTGGCACATTTTCGACGACACAGATGAACTTTTTATTGGCCCAAAATTGCTGGCAACGTCATGTGCATCGACTCTCAATCAATGTTGTGCAAGGTGCGAGACGTTATCAAACCATGACGCATCGAGCAGCATATTCACTAAACAGAGAATTGTGTTGTCTGGAGCGGTCTTCTCCATTTAAAGAGTATACCAACAGCGGGGATACTTTTTAAATGGAGAGGAAAGCAAGCCGAGCTACTGAAGCAAGCATCAAAACTGGTGCTTGCTGCAATATCCTCACGTTTGAAACATTCACTTTAAGACTTCGTGCCGATGAATCCCAAAGGCTCGGAGCAGCCAAATGAGGTGATCGGCAGTCAGCTGGGGTGGTTTCAAGCGTTTGGTGATCTTCGACCTGACCCAAGGTCACTATGCTCTAGATAGGATACGTTATGGTCTGAGGAAAATCAAGTGGTTCATGTTTGGTGACGGCCAGTCTCATGGGTTCGGAGCATAGGGTTGCTCAAACGTATTAGCGGTCGTTTAGTCCGGTTCCGTCATCTCACAACTATGACGCTCAAAGGACATTTGTTTGTTTGCTTATGAATTTTAGTATTACTGTTTTACGCCTGGGCCCCAAGAGGCTATGCGCCCTAAGTCAACAAAAAGAAGAAGTATTACTGTCAAACATAAGGCAACCAGATAAAGGTAGTGGTGGGAGTGGGGGCTAATGGTACTTATTTCTTTGTTTTGAGGTGAAATAGGAACCGCTTTTACTGGTTGGACTGGGACTGTCGCTGAAGTGGAGTTTACGGTCCTGCTGTTGACTGAGTGAGCCATGCCCCATGAGCTATTGTTGATCATTAAAGTATGCAATATATGCCTTTGTTTATGACGACTGATTGGTTTAATGCTAAGCTTAACAGGCCTGATTGATCCAATGACTGAATTGTAAGTTTGAACTGTAATCTGAACACCAGAAGTTTGTGTCAGATTTAAGAACTTAATTGTGTCAATTGGGTGGAATATGTGTCAACTTAATATGAAATTGAAGAACTGCTTGCTGTACTTTTAAGTTGAGGTGAATGAATGATCTTTGAACAAGCAAACAATGGATCAGATCAAGGTTATTAAGTATGGAATGAATCAAGGATATATTGATCCGCAAAAGGCAACTTTACCAAATGATTATGGAGCAGAACTGGATCATTGATCCTGAATATGTATTTTCAAGGAGAATGATTCATTTAAAATGAATTCAATCATATTTTGATTCAGATGGGAATCATTCTACAACCAGATAACCTGATGGGGATTGATTTTTTAAAAACATGCATAAGGTATGGAAATGTGACCTTAAGATATCAGTCAAGAGATCAAATGTTTTATTTTTTAAAAATTCTGAAGCTTCAAGATCCAGATGTCCAATAACAGCATTAGGTGATGGCCACTGATGAACCATAAAGAACACTAGGGAAATTAATTTTGATAAATTGATGGTTTAATTACCCAGTCAACTCGTTGACAGAGTGCCAGAGCTTGTTCTTTGTAGCCTTGCATTAGATATATTCAAAAGGTGATCTTGATGTCTTTAAAACATTCAGGTAAGATTTTAAGATTTTCATTGTTGCCTCCAGAGGTGCACCTGGGGCATGTTGATCATGTTAAATGTTGAACAGTATAATCAGTTTAGGGAGAAGTGTATTTGGTAGAAGTTTTGAGCATCATTATGACTAGATCACAGGATATATTGCTGGTATGAACCTGCTTTGGAAACACAGCCTTGGAATAACCTGAGCATCCAGGCAGACTGATTTGCAAAGCCAGTTTCCTTAAATAGATCATGGTGGTCAACACCATAGGGGTGAAATCAAAATTATGGAATTAAAAATAATTGAGTTCAGATCTTGGCCAATGAGCTTATTGCGGGCATTTCATAGCACACACATATTTCTGAACCAGATATTGGGAATAGAGAGATGAATATGGATATCTATTGAGATAGATATATTGGGAATAGTTTTTGCATTTCCATGGTTGGCTTATCATAGAAAGTGCACAGTTGTCAAGTGGCCAAAGAGGGTTGACAAGGCCTGGGATAGATGCAAACAAGGCTCTTCTGTGGTGAGCCTTGTTTGCGTGAGCCTGGATGAGCAAAATAATGAATAATAGGATTACTCATTTGATTAGCCGAACAACTGACTTTGATCATTTGTTCATAACTCACACAATATGTTTTGGTTGGAGAGTATTGTCTCTCAGCCCTGAGTCACAATGCTTAAAACCTTCAAAACACACTATTCATGTGTGTTACTTCCAGTTGCTGCTTGCCAGTGCCATCTCATATGCTTCAGCATGAGTGAGGAGCATGTACGCGAGGAGCAGCTGCGAGAAGCTGCTTGTGTTGGTGATCTGAAGGCACTGAGGGAGCTCATGCAAAATGGTGTCAACGTCAACTCAAAGAATGCTGTCAATGGCTGGTGAGTACCACACTGTCTTCTAATCCTGTCTCGCATGAGAGGGGATTGGTATGTTTGTCACTGGCCCTTAGTAATGACTTTGACTTTGTTTGAACTATATGGTTGGGCTCGTTAACTGGATAAGGTGGACATTGGAATATTTAAAGGAGTTCAATTAGAGTAACTGAAAATAACTGAATACCAAAATAGTTTTAGTGCGCGAAAAATTCATAACACAAATGCCATGCTGCAGTACTAACTAGATGTTTCAGAAGGTTTAGTGTGTGCATGGGCCTGTCCACGCGGCTTATTAAGAGCGATGGATGTCGCGAGGGCGTCGGCTGATATGGGGGAGTAGCACCCCGGCGGTCGCCAGCTCCCGTAATGGATGGACAACGCAAGCTATTCATTGCACAGGCCAGCGATTCCGCCGGCACCTGAGCTCCAGGTTCTCCCGCCCCCTTCCCTCCGCATCACCTGCGTTCTGCCCCGCCCCGTCCCCCGCCTTTCCAGTGCCCCTCATGGTCGTTATACCGGGGTCTCTGTGCCGCCTGGCCCGTGTCCTCCGGAGCTGGTGACGAGAGGGGGGGGGGGGGGATGGAGGTGGGAGGCCGCCGTGGAAATCCGTCTCGGCGCGCACCACCTACCGGTGGGGCCCACACGGGTACAGTGACCACTTCGACCATGCCTTCAGCGAAACTAACATCTGTAGTCACCTAGACACCTCAGTGATTACGTCACTAAGGTGTCGAGCCAAATAAGACGCTGGCTCTTGAACCTGTACCCAGTGCTACTGGATATCAACTCCAGCACCTATCCCCTGGACTTCTGATATTCGTTTCGATAAAGGCATGCAGCCAAAATATCAGTCGCTCCATTTGCCTGGTTATTTTGTGAGGAATAAGGCTATGAGTACTGTCTTATCAATATGAAAACATCCTTTGACCGGATGACTTCTGCATGTGACGACTTAGTATACCCCGGTGGACCTGTGTAGCTGTTGGCCATCGCGGTGACCGGCTGGCGCACGGCTTTGAGTTCATTGGTTATCCCTTGCGCGAGCAATTAAACCGTGCATAACTACACGACTTCATGATCTGTCAAGACGAAGGGAAATGAGATGTCCATTGGACGGTAAATGATTGAGGAATTTTACTATGCAGTTTTATGGGTGTGGCTAGTAGTGAATAAGTAACAGTATGGCTTATATTGGTTTCGAGAAAAAATGAAGGTGTTTTGCCACCTAGCCATATTTACAACAACAACTTGCCGGGCATCACTTTTGTTGGCCTATCAGTCGAGCACTTGCAGTTGCTTGCACTTGTACGAGCGAGCACTTGCACAGACTTGCAGTTGTGCGTACGCGTCTCGGATGGGGCTAATGCTGTGGCACGACCGCCCCATGCTTAGTCTGACCCACGTGCCAGCTGACGTCTCCGGGGAGGTCGGATCAAATAAGGCGCCGGCTCTTGAATTTTTACCCAGTGTCACTGGATAACGACTCCAGCACGTATCCCCAGTCTACGTTGGCGTCAACATGATGAGCATTACAGAATGAGTAGTGCACGTAGTATGCCATTGCCAACTTCTTCGACATTAGTTCGAGTCTGTTCGGCGTCCAGGGACCAATGGCGGGGTAGGTCGTAGTGTGGTCGGTGGACCGGGCTGAGAACACCGGCGTATGTGCGGGGGGTGGGGGGGGGGGGGGATTTGAAGCTCAGACTTGGCCGATGATTGGCTGCAGAACAGTCCCAGCGCCCTGAAGTCTTGTGGCTTACTGATATATGTGATCATCCGTAAGTGGGTGCCACTTTCGTCGCTATTGGTGAATCAGATGTTCGAATCAACATATGAGCATCATATGACGACAACGTTGGAGGATTTTTAATTCTCATCGGATTTTATTTCCTTTTCCCTCAAGGAGTACTCTAAACAAACTGACCACTAAAAGTTACCTGGATTTTCTTCTAAGCTCCGCAATGTGTCACATCTGTTTGTCCCTCCCCTTGGATCATCTCTTAACATGCGTGCACCAGAAGCTAGCAGGCGTAGATGAGCCTGAGCGTACATTTATCGACCGAAATCACCGGACGGACTGCGATTCGGTGGCTCGTGCTGAAGGAGGGGGGGGGGGGGGGGGAGACGTCCGGTCCCCCGTGCTGCAGGAGGTAGGTGGTGTGACGTCCGGTCGCCCTGGTGGAGGAGTTGGGTGGTGTGACGTTTGGTCGCCCATGCTGGAGGAGGTGGGTGGTGTGACGTCCTGTCGCCCGTGCTGGAGGATAGGGGGGGGGGGGGGTGACGTCCTGCCGCCCGTGCTGGAGGAGGTGGGTGGTGTGGACGTCCTGTCGCCCGTGCTGGAGGGGACGGGTGGTGAGACGTCCGGTCGCCCGTGCTAGAGGGGGCAGGTGTTGTGACGTTCGGTGCCCATGCCGGAGGAGGTGAGTGGTGTGACGTCCTGTCGCCCGTGCTGAAGGGGACGGGTGGTGAGACGTCCGGTCGCCCGTGCTGGATGAGGCGGGTGGTGTGACGTCCGGTCGCCCGTGCTGGAGGAGGTGGGCGGTGTGACGTCCGGTCGCCCGCGCTTGAGGGGACGGGTGGTGAGACGTCCGGTCGCCCGTGCTGGATGAGGCGGGTGGTGTGACGTCCGGTCGCCCGTGCTGGAGGAGGTGGGCGGTGTGACGTCCGGTCGCCCGCGCTTGAGGGGGCGGGTGGTGTGACGTCCAGTCGCCCGTGCTGGAT